TAAATTAGAGAAAAATAAATATGTGAGGAACTAGAAAAAGTTAAAATAATAAACACTAAGGTTCTTAACTATCATTTAAAATCAGATAAACAATGGGTTTTTAAATTTTGTAATATACTGAGGAACTGATAGCTTTTTAAAAATATTTTAGGGCATTAAAAGGATTTTCAACAAAGTTAATTGGTGTTACTCAATGGCCGCTACACACCTCGCTGATCTGAAGCCAGGAGCCAGGTGCCTCTCCTGGTCTCCCAGGTGGGTGCAAGGCTCAAGGACTTGGGCCATCCTCCACTGCACTCCCTGGCCACAGCAGAGAGCTGGCCTGGAAGGGAGGGTAACCAGGACAGAATCCAGTGCCCCGACCGGGACTAGAAACTGGCGTGCCGGCACCACAGGTGAAGGATTAGTCTATTGAGCCGTGGCGCCAGCTGAGTTATTTCCTCTTGAAAAGTGAGAGATAGGGACCAGTGCTGTGGCATAGCAGGTAAAGCTGCAGCCTACAGTGCCAGCATCCCATATAGGCGCCAGTTCGAGTCCTGGTTGCTCCACTTTTGATTAAGCTCTCTGTAATGGCCTGGGAAAGCAGTAGAAGATGGCTCAAGTTCTCAGACCCCTGTACCCACATGGGAGACCTGGAAGAAGCTCCTGGCTCCCAGCTTCAGATCAGCACAGCTCTGGCAGTTTCAGCCAATTGGGGAGTAAACCAGAGGATGGAAGATTTCTCTCTCTCTCTCTCTCTGCCTCTCTTTCTCTATCTGTGTAACTCTGACTTTCAAATCAATAAATCTTAAAAAAAAAAAAAAAGAAAGAAAGAAAAGTGAGGGATAATAACCTGTTCCCTAGGTCTACTATGAGGATTGAATTAGATCTTAATTTTAAAGGACCCAACTGATGGAAGCCATTCAAAATAAAGTAGTCCTAGGCTGCGCCGCAGCTCACTAGGCTAATCCTCCACCTAGGGGCGCTGGCACACCAGGTTCTAGTCCCGGTCGGGGCACCGGATTCTGTCCCGGTTGCCCCTCTTCCAGGCCAGCTCTCTGCTGTGGCCATGGAGTGCAGTGGAGGATGACCCAAGTGCTTGGGCCCTGCACCCCAGGGGAGACCAGGATAAGTACCTGGCTCCTGCCTTCGGATCAGCGTGGTGCACCGGTCGCAGTGCGCCAGCCGTGGCGGCCATTGGAGGGTGAACCAACGGCAGAAAGGAAGACCTTTCTCTCTGTCTCTCTCACTATCCACTCTGCCTGTCAAAAATAAATAAATAAATAAATAAATAAATAAATAAAGTAGTCCTTTTTGAACTTACACTACCATTCCCTAACATGAGTATATTGTGAAATAATTCTATGTAATAATTGTGGGAAATATTTTAGCATTCTTGATACTTGTTAATGTTCCTAATTAGGCAATTAGCTAGCAGGAGTATTTATGTACTTGTGCATTACTTTTCTAAAAATATAGTTTTTCCATCAATCTTGTTGCTCATGATTCAATTTCAAATGCATACAGATTTATTCAGAATAGTTTCTCTCCGGAAAAGCAAAAAGCCCTTTTCCATATGTGCTTACACATTTGATGGCTTTCGGGAATAAACTGTTAGTTTAGAGGAGCAAAGGCTGTGTTGATTAAAATTCTTCTTGGTATGCAAAAGCAGTCCAGTGATTACAATCCTTAAAGAACATAATGGGAGGAGGCCAAAGGTAAGAGAAGGAAATGTGAGATAAAACATCTTGGATTTAATATAGATATTAAACTGTGAGAGGCAAAGTTTATGAAGAGAAAAAGGAATAAAGGTAAATTGGAGTGTGTTAGGACTTAAACTATGGGTGCTCATTAAATTTTACATCCTCCCTCTATTTAATTTGCTCCCTATCAAACTATACAAGCACACTGTAGGCACATAATAAAGATAAAAGGTCACAAGAGTTAGGGTTCAAAGTAATTTTGCATCTAAAACTTTAGATAAATTATCATTCCATAGGAATGTTAAAACATTCAAGTGTTGAATCATCATGCAATCATGTAATGAAAAAGGATTTGAGTTTTTCAAATACGCTGATTTACTTAGTAGTTTGAACAGGCTAGTCAAAGAATACACCATAAGAATTAGGAAGAATAAGTGCAAGAGATCTTTGTACAGCAAGGTTACTATAGTTAATGATGGTTAATTATATCCCTTTTTAATAACTTTTTGCAAGGCAGAGAAAGAGAGGGAGCTCCCATCCACTGATTAACTCCCCAAATTCTGATAACAGCTGCCAGGTGCGGGCGAAGCTGGGCACCGCAAACTCAATCCAGGTCTCCCATGGTAGGCAGAGAAGGGGGGTGAAAGTTGATTACTGAGGCCATATCCTGCTGCTTCCAAGGTCTACATTAACAGGAAGTTGGAGTCAGGAGCTGGAGCCAGAGTTGGGTATCAAATCCAGGCCCTGCAATGTGGAACCTCAGACTCTTAACCAGTAGGCTAAATGTCATTCCTTTTGTATTCTTGAAAAATGCAGAGACTAGATGTTAGGGGCTCTCATCACAAAAATAAGTATGTGAGGCAAAGCAATTGTTAATTAAGTAAATTCAACCTCCATACAGTGTGTGTATGCACTTCAAAACATCATATTGTACACAATAGAGACATACAATATCATTTGTCAAATTAAAAAATTTAAAATTTAGTTTTTTAAAAGGTTCCCTTTTAAACACTATCTTCTTGGGTGTACTAAAGCCATAGAATCCCTTCCCACTCTGTGAATGTTCATGAACTGCAGCCCCATCTGCACTGCTTTAGTCGCAAAGGAAGAAACAATCTCTCTCCAAGTCAGCCTTGTAAAATTCCTCCTGAGCACCTTCTTCCTTTAGGAACTGAGGCATCTCAGGTAATTGTACAGCGTGGAAGGAGGTACAACTATGATCACATGAAAGAAAATTATTTTGAAAGCTTATTTTTATGTTGCATTTCCTCCGAGTTTGCTTAAAACACTGAAAGTATGTACTTAGCCATAGTCCAACACATCCTAATGCATTTCTATGCCTCTCAAAAGCCATGTGGACTTTCTGAGCACTCAACAGATGTCTCCTTGGCCCAGGCTTAAATTTAAATTTAAATTAAAAGAACTGTGAACATAGTAAAAAAAAAGAATAAAGAGGGATCACCTACATCACAGCTCAACCAGTGTGGCATTTGGCAGAGATAAATATGTCTCTAACTCATGAGTTCAATTTATGGCTTTTTGGCTTGATGATGCTGCCAAAGTAATGAGCTTTCAGTAGAAATTTTTGAATTTTGATTTGCCAGGGTTAATGGTACGTCATATGTGATATCTCAATATCCATCCTCAATCTAACGTCTATGTTCCGAGCAGGTTTAAGGTAAGCTAGGCTTTCCATTATAACTCTATAGTAGATGTAAGAGCATCTGTATTGTTAAGAAAGCAACTGAATTGTATAGGCTTCTTGGCTTCCTGCTAGTTGTGGTGAATTTGTTTCATATCTCTTAACTACAAAATGATAATTATTTTATAAGATCTCTGTGTGAGAGTGAAATAAAATAGTATGAAAATGCTTTGTACTTTATAAATAGAACTCTACAAAAGAAGGCTTTTGTTCAGACAGAATTATTTGATGTGGTATGTAAATATTGAGCCATATTTAATTTTTATTTTTTATTTTTTGTTTTTTTTTTATAAAGATTTATTTATTTATTTGTAATTCAGAGTTATACAGAGAGAGGAGAAGCAGAGAGAAAGAAAGGTCTTCCATCCGATGTTTCACTCCCCAGATGGCCACAATGGCTGGAGCTGTGCCAATCCGAAGCCAGAAACCAGGAGCTTCTCCCAGGTCTCCCAAGTGCAGGGTCCCAAGCACTTGGGCCATCTTGTGCTGCGTTCCCAGGCCATAGCAGAGAGCTAGATCAGAAGTGGATCAGCCAGAACTCAAACTGGAGCTCATATGGGATGCCGGCGCCCCAGGCCAGGGCATCAACCCGCTGCACCACAGCACCGGCCCCAAGCCATATTTAATTTTAACATTAATAAAAACTCCATTTGTGAATTCCAATATTGCTCCATATCAAGCAATATTATCCTAGTATTATAACTAATAGATGAGATATTAGTAATTTTATTACCTATCTTTATCTATATAAAATACCACCCTATATATGTAAAATACCATAACTAATGTATGATAAATTATCAATAATTTTATTATCTAATGTTAAATTAAAATAATGATACCAGCTTAAATCAGCCTGTAAGTGTGAAGCCTGAACAGGTAAAAATTGAAAAGGTGAACAGGCTGGTGCCGCGGCTCACTAGGCTAATCCTCCGCCTTGTGGCGCCGGCACACCAGGTTCTAGTCCCAGTCGGGGCGCTGGATTCTGTCCCGGTTGCCCCTCTTCCAGGCCAGCTCTCTGCTGTGGCCCGGGAGTGCAGTGGAGGATGGCCCAAGTACTTGGGCCCTGCACCCCATGGGAGACCAGGATAGGTACCTGGCTCCTGCCATCCGATCAGCGCAGTTTGCCGGCTGCAGTGCGCCGGCCGCATTGGCCATTGGAGGGTGAACCAACGGCAAAAGGAGATCTTTCTCTTTCTCTCTGTCTCTCTCTCTCACTGTCCACTCTGCCTGTCAAAAAAAAGAAAAAAGAAAAAAAAAGAAAAGAAAAGTGAACAAACATTTTTTACTTAGAAAATCTAAATAATTATATATATTCAATCATATTTTCTACTATTATGAGAGGAACAGTGGTTGCTTTATAAAATAAAAAATTTTGATATTTTTCTATTACAACATAAGCAAATAAAACAATTAAAACTGATGTAACTTTTGTAAACTTTTTTTTACAACACCTTTTTTTTTAAGGTATATACACTTCCTGATAAGCAAAGATGATGAAATAGTGGCCTTTTAAGGGCAGAGAAGTTTCTATAAAAAGCCTCAAGTGACAGCTTAAGGTATCTACTGCATCTGTGGTTGCAGTTACTCTAGGCATTCATTATTTTTCTTTTCAGAAAAATAAAACAAAGTAGAAGATCATGGCAAGTTCTGACTGGGCATATGATGGCCAAAATGGTAAGAGTTCTTCTGTTACATGATTTGAAATAATGATTTATTTTCTTTTTTTACAGAAATGTTAAGCATTTAAAATAACTTTACCATGTAGGTTAATGGTTTGAGTTGCCTGTATTGAATTATTAATAATTCCTTTGCATGTTTTTAGCAATTGCCTTTAGAGTATGGATGTATATAAAATCTATTCAATATATAAGAGTATGTAGTAGAAATTGATTGCTCACAGGAAAATATTTGTAGTTTGACTGTAAAAACTATATTCACAGTGTACTGTTTTTAGTATACTATAAGTATACTGTTTCGTAGTATAGTACAGAAAAAGGGACATAATCAAACAGAGAATTTAAATTAAGCTAAACAGACTGCCTAAATAAAGCAAACATGATAATTTAGTAACGTTTATAATAGATAAACCTGGAATCAAGCATTTGATAACGTTTTGACTGTACACATCCTTACTGTGGTAGGTCCTGAGCACTGGAGCAAGCTGTACCCCATTGCGAATGGAAATAAGCAGTCTCCTGTTGATATTAAAAGCAGCGAAGTGAAACATGACACCTCTCTGAAACCTTTCAGTGTCTCCTACAATCCAGCCTCTGCCAAAGAAATTATCAACGTGGGACATTCCTTCCATGTCAATTTTGAAGATGACAGCCAATCAGGTGAGTTGGAAGACCTTTCTGATATCTCTCCTTAGAGTTGACAGGGAAGATGTGAACAACGGGGCTTGATATCAAGAATCCATCCTAAGTCTTTCTGATGTGTGTCCCATTGCTGTAATCTGGTGAGACTGAGACTTCCGGAGTGCGCCAAGTGGAGAAGGTAGCTTTGGAAATCTCTGTACTTTTTCACTTTCCATTTCTTTTGGCCATTCCACTATCTTTATGTTCACTTAATTCACTGTGAGTAAGCCTTTTTGTTCCTACAAAGGTCTAGTGAATGAACCATGAATGCAGATAGTGAAAAAGCAAACATATTCTGCTTGGGATGAGGGTGAGGGATCACAGTAGAAGAGAGACAATGGAGTGATTGAATTATCCTCACCCCTTGGAATCTAGCACATTTCCTGCAACATAATCAGCTTTTAACAAATGCTTATTGAATAATATGTTAAGTGACAATTCCACAAGACAGTTCTATAGACTTGAAAGATCAAACTCACTTTGGCACTTTTGTACAAGGTGCTTAGCCTGAATTTTAGGCACCTTGGGGCTATGTCATTTATAAATATTGATCAGGTGTGGCATAATATGCATTTAAGGACTCATATGATGTACACTCTAAAGTGATAGGTCATTGGGGCTGGCACCGTGGCTCACTTGGTTAATCCTCCGTCTGTGGCACCAGCATCCCATATGGGTGCCAGTTCTAGTCCTGGCTGCTCCTCTTCCAGTCCAGCTTTCTGCTGTGGCCCGGGAGGGCAGTGGAGGATAGCCCAGGTGCTTGGGCCCCTGCACCCGCATGGGAGACCAGGAGCAAGTTCCTGGCTCCTGGCTTCGGATCGGCGCAGCTCCGGCAGTTGCAGCCAATTGGGGGAGGGGGGGTGAACCAATGGAAGGAAGACCTTTCTCTCTGTCTCTCTCTCTCACTGTCTGTAACTCTACCTGTCAAATAAATAAATAAATAAATAAATAAAGTGATAGGTCACTCAAAGTTAAATTTTTAAAAGTGACCCCCAGCCCTATTTCCAGGAGTTCTCAACAAAGCTATCACAATATACTGTTGTGTCCTCATCAGGTACAAAATATGAGATGAGTAATTTGTTACTAAAAATAAACTACTAAATATTTTGATGCATACTACCTATATTCCTTATTGAAAGAAATAATGTATAAACTTGGAAATTAAAGGAGATATCAATGAAAGTCTTACAATTATATAATTTACTCACCTTGCAGTATGGTGTCTTGGAGGTAGAAAATAGATGAAATTCTGGCCCATATGCTGAAGATCATATACAACTTGTGGGATATCTTACCAGTGCCATTGTCAGGGATACATCATACGTACTCCCATGAATGTCATGATCATGGATGTGGAGGGATTAAAAAATTACATAAAAACTTCAGTAATATTGTTTACTTTCATTTCTATTCAATGTCATTTAGTGTTGGCTTACATCAAATGCTGTGATAAGCTGGTTTCTGATCGTAAGCCTAACAGAAGTTGCCTTTCCTTCCAGTGCTGAAAGGCGGCCCTCTTTCTGACAACTACCGACTTTCTCAGTTCCATTTTCATTGGGGCAAGACAGATGACTATGGTTCTGAACACACAGTGGATGGAGCCAAATTCTCTGCAGAGGTAATGTAATTGAGTACATGAGAAATAATTACACTGAGAGTCCTCCCCAGGGCAGCTCTCTTCTTACAAAAGATACCACCATAAGGGCTTGAAAGAAATGAACATTTTGTTCTCTGTCAGGAACACCCTGCCTCCATTAAAATGAAGAAAACCAGGATTTAGCTATAGCATGAGTCATTTAGATGTGAATAATTGGATTCAAGTCAACATTTATTGAGTGTTGTATGTGTTGTAGCAGGTGCTAGAAAGAAAGGAACAGATTTACATACTCCAGCATTCAGAGAGTTTACAGCATATCTCACTCAGGGGGTGGGATTTGGCTTAGTGATCAAGATGCCCCATCCCATTTCAGAGTGCCTGGATTTGATTACCAGCACTAGCTCTCCATTATAGCTTTCTGCCAGTTTCAACTCTGGGAGGCAGCAGGTGATGGTTCAAGTGATTGGGTCTCTGCCTCCCATGTAGGAGACCTGGACTGAGTTCCCAGCTCCTGGTTCTGGTCCTAGCTCAGCCTCAGCCATGGCAGGTATCTGCAGAGACAGAACCAGCAGCTCTCTCTCGCTCGCTCGCTCGCTCTCTCTCTCTCTCCCCCATGGCTCTAAAGTAACTTAAAACCAATATAAAATTTTTAAAAATCACACATAGATACACTCTGATAATAGAGAGGAAATTTTCATGTGGTAAGCAGCCACTAAACTTAGAACTGAACTGCTAACCCTAAGATTCACCATTCCGAGAATGTCTTAAAAACACTCACCTTGACATCTTGTCCACTTTGGGGGGTGGCACTGATCTTGTTTACTTCTCTCACTACAAGTGGAAGATACCATCACTCCCTTTTTTATTTAAATGTTCATATTTGATACACCAGTAGTATGAGTGTAACCAGAGTGGAATGCTTTAATAAGACACCAAGAGCCCAAGTTTAACCGTAGCAATGCTCACACAGAGTAGCATACGCTTAGATGAGAATGCGAAGGTCCCTGACTGCAAACCATCGCCCTACAGCCTCTTGACTTACCCTCCCCTGGAAATGTGTGCTCCATTTCGAGACACTATTGTCAGTTTAGACATAGAAAATATGGGCATGTGATCATCAAATTGTCAACAAAGGGTCTCAGATATTAAAAGGGGAGAAATTTTGCTTTTTACTGTGTATGAACAAATTACATAATATAATTTACCCATATGTACAAGTTGATTTTTTAATTTTACTTTCACAAAATGAACAGTATAGGACATATAATTTTGCTCTTTTATTAATTACCATTATTATGGTCATTTCCCAAGTCAAAAGATTTAATTCTATCATAGTCTTTTAATATCAGTATAGTATTTCCGTTGGATGAGTACATCAGAATTTGTTTATCTGGTCCCTACTGGTGAACAATAACAATAACAATGTTTTCTTATTTTTGTTCTATTGGTGCTGGGGCTGGCATTCTGGCATAGTGAGTTAAACAGCTGCTTGCGATGCCAGTATCCCGTATGGGAGTGTCAGTTCAAATCCCTGCTTCTCTGCTTCAGATCCAGCTCCCTGCTACTATGTCTGGAAAAGCAGTAGAATATGGTCCAACTCCCTGGGCCCCTGCTACCAACATGGGAGACTTGGATGGAATTCCAGTCTCCTAATCTCCTGTCTTCAGTCTGGGCTTTTGCCTTTACAAACAAAATATGTCTGTGACTATATCTGTGCATATATCTTAAACACAAGCTGAAGAAATCATGTAGTACCGATTTTCATAAGAGAGATTGCTAGGTTAAAGTGTGTTTATTTTTTATTCTTAAAGAGGCTTTGGAGTATACAGATATACATAAATATTTTATGTTATATTGTACAGCTTATACCTTTCAACACTGCAGAAATCTATTACATGTTTTTCCCAATTCTTCTACCAAAAATTGAAGGTAAAGTAAAATCAAATGAGATAGGAACAAAAATTAATGTTATCTTTCTGGAAGAAAAATTGCTAGTGTCCAACTGACTTAAATCAATGATCCTGTCATCTAAATCTATAAAAGTAGAAATAATGCAGATTAGAGATTAGGTACACTAAACAATAAAATTCAACATGTGTTTCAATTCAATTCAGCAAGCCTCCACAGGGTACCCATGACACACCAGGTTCAAGAGACAAGACAGCCTGGTGGTGAAGAATATTAGCTCATTAGCTCACTGTCAGGGTTTGAGTCAAAGCTCTGCCACTTACTAGCTGTACAACTTTGAGGAAATCATTCTGTCCCCCAACATCTCATCTATAGAGTCAAGTTAATATGATATTAGTTGCTATCTCATATGGTTGTTGAGAGGATGAAATAAGAAAGCCATATAAAGCACACTTAGGCCAATGCTTTTTGTGATGTAAGTACTTAGTAATGTTACTTACATTTCAGTGGACAAATCACAAATAAGCATTCCTCAAGCAGGATAGTATAGGCAAAAGGACAGTGATTAAATAAGCACGGTAGTAAAGGACAGCCTCACTATTCTCAAGCACCATGGAAATACAGATGCAGCAGCAGTCAATTAAGGACAGGGACACAATCTAGAGTGGCACAGTCAGAAGAAATAACAATGAGATGACATTTCAACTGTGAAGTGCTACCTCTTGATATATTGTTTTAATGGTTCTTTTCCACTCAACAGATAATCATCAACCATCTATAATATGCCAAATACTGTTTTTAAAAAGACTGGCTAGGGCCGGCGCTGTGGCTCACTAGGCTAATCCTCTGCCTGCGGCGCCAGCATCCTGGGTTCTAGTCCTGATCAGGGCTCCGGATTCTCTCCTGGTTGCTTCTCTTCCAGCCCAGCTCTCTGCTGTGGCCCAGGAGTGCAGTGGAGGATGGCCCAAGTGCTTGGGCCCTGCAGCCCATGGGAGACCAGGAGAAGCACCTGGCTCCTGGCTTTGGATCAGCGCGGTGCGCCGGCCACAGCGGCCGTTGGGGTTTGAACCAACAGAAAAGAAAGACCTTTCTCTATGTCTCTCTCTCTCTCACTGTGCACTCTACCAGTCAAAAAAAGACTGGCTAACATTTGATAGGGGAAAGAAGTATTTTAGAAGAATAAAGGAAGGGAAAAAGGGAGAAAGGATGGTAAAAAGGGAGGGAAAGAAGTTAGATAAATAGTATGGGAAAAATTTATTTGATTTATGATGATTGCTTCATACTGGAGTACAAGAAAAGGATTTGTTGAGGAGTGACATTTGAATTCATCCTTAAAACAAGACAAGAGCCTACCTTTCAAAGATTATGGGCGAGGGGGATTTCTAGAGAAAATCAATAGTTAATGCAAAGAGTTAAAATTACAAACAAGTGAGGAGGTAAAATCTGTGAGATATGAATGATAGAAAACAAGAAAGTAATTATAACTGCCCCATTTTTTTGTTGAGAAATTACATGGGCTGTGCTATCTTTTCCTAAATAGGGAAAAGGAAGAGGTTTGGCAAGGAAGAAATCAGGAGTTCTGTTTTGGACAAATTAAGTGTGAGATATCTATTTTTTAAAAAAGAGTATTTATTTATTTATTTATTTGAAAGTCGGAGTGACAGAGAATGTGAGGTAGATGCAGAGTGAAAGAGAGAGAGGTGTTCCATTTGCTGGTTCACTACCCAGATGGTTGCAATGACCAGGGCTGGCCCAGACCAAAGCCGGGAGTCAGGAACTCCATCCAGATATCCCACAAGGGTTGCAGGGACCCAAGTGCTTGGACCATCTTCAGCTGCTTTCTATGATGCATTAGCAGGGATCTGGATTAGAAGTGGAGCAGCCAGGACTCAAACCAGAGTTGATATGGGAATGCCAGTGCTGCAGGTGGTAGCTTTACCCGCTGTGCCCCAAGATATCTATTAAACAGCCATGTGAACATATCAATCAAATATCAAGACAACTTACATATAGGTACTCCGATGGACAAGTCTAGAGTTCCACAGAGGGAAGAAGCTTGAGGTAATGAGCTGAGAAGTATTTGGAAAGGAAATTGTTGTGTGCATGACAATGTGATCTTGGCCAAGACTCCAAGGTTTTCTAGGAATGTTTTTAGAACAAAGTGCCTCATGTGAGAGAAAGACTTTGATTTTTGTCCTAAAGCTCGTCGAATTTCCTAAGTTTTTCATGCCAAAGAAAGTTAATTTTTAAATGAGAAATGTTTAATAGTTAATAATATTATAGAAAAATAAATGATACTTTCTGGTTCCAGGACTTGCAGTTTACTTATCCTACCCAGAGCAGAGTTCACCCTTTCAGATCGAGAACATAACTCTCCCAAACCTCTGTGTAAAGGTTCAGTTAATTTGAGTATCTCAAAGCTAACATTCATCTTCACATGGTAGAAATTAACATAACTTATTTTTTATTTTTACACTGGCATAAATAATTAATTAACCACATACCATTTTTAGCTTCACCTTGTTCACTGGAATTCTGGGAAGTACCCCAACATCGCTGACTCTGTTTCCAAGGCTGATGGCTTGGCGATTGTTGCTGTTTTTCTGAAGGTGAGCTACAGATTGTTACACAACTCGACTTTTTCTTACCAAATGAATCTCAACAGAGGATGACAAATACCAAAAGACATTTGGGTTTTCATCTTGGAAAATTTCACATTCCACCAATGACATAGTGAACAAGCAGTTCCCTAGTACTTTGCAGTTTTGTTTTCTCTCTGGTTTTCCCAGCTTCAGGTGGTGGCAAAATAGGAAGATCCTCACTTGAAAAAAAAATTTCTGTTCTTCAGATGTTCCAAATTCCTTCATTCCCTTTCCTCTAAATTTCCTATCTGACAGATTTGAGAATTTACCAATTTACTATCTCATCAGGGAAAAATGTGAAAACTGTTTTTCCCATAAGTAAAAAAAAAAAAAAATTGATTTTGTAAATGGCAGATGTTGGTCAAATCCTCTCTGTTAGAGAACCTAAAAAGTTCTATAGGAATATTATTATTTAATTGGGTATGCTTGAATAAGTAAATTTTGGGATTATACTAATTCCAGCTAACTTTTATTGAGCTCTTATATTCTAGCAAAAATCACTAGTTATAACTAATAGAACAGATCAAAAGCGAGAGATTTAGGTTTTGCACCACAGTTTTGCTAGCTTTCTAGACTTTATCTTAAATAACTTGGAATATTTTGTCTATAATTAAATTTAAACCAAACTTTTTGACTGTTGCTTTATCTGTGGTTGCACCTAATAAACTGTTTGTAGAGTGAAAGAACCCACAACGACACACCTAGCAAAATTTCCTCTCCTGAAGCAGAGAAAACCTTACCTCTCATCATAATTGAAACTATTTTTAATTAAGCTAACCAGTGCTTGATTGGTAATAATATTGATTTCATATTTTTTATTTCTAGGTTGGTCAGGCCAACCCCAAGCTGCAGAAAGTTCTTGATGCACTGAGTGCAGTTAAAACTAAGGTAAGTAGTTAATTTAATGGGTAAATAAGTTAATTTAGATCACAGAGCAGTAGTCTATAGAAATGTTGAAACAGTTTTTAAAATTTTTCTAAATTGTTTATTTACACAAGGTTAAAAATCTCACATATACATATTTAAGAGCATAATGAGACTTCCCATCCTACCCTTCCTCCCATGCTTCCCTACCTCCCTCCTTCCTTTCTTATTTTTTCTTCTAACTTTTACAATGACATACTTTCAGTTTATTTGATAATCACAAGCTTAATCCTCTATTAAATAAAGAATTTAACAAGGAGTAAGTAGAAAAATCACTGTTCCTCAAGAGTGTAGACAAGGGCTATAGATAACAATCAAATCTCAAAATGTCAATTTCACTCCTACACATTACACTTTTTGTACTCTGTGTATTAATTGCCACAAATCAGGAAAAAATAGTATATTTGACTTTGGGGGACTGGCTTATTTCACTAAGCATGGATGAAAAATGGTTCTTGGAAGTGATCCCAGAGCCATAGGCAATCAAAGCCAAAATCGACAGATGGCATTACATCAAATTGAGAAGCTTCTACACTTCAAAAGAAACAATCAGCAAAGTGAAGAGAAAACCAACAGAATGGGAGAAATTATTTGCAAACTATACAACTGATAGAGGATTAATAACCAGAATATATAAAGAGATCAAGAAATTCAACAACAGCAAAACAATCTGGTTAAGACATGGGCAAAGGACTTAAACAGACATTTTTCAAAAGAGGAAATCCAAATGGCCAAGAAACACATGAAAAAATGCTCAGGATTGCTAGGAAGGAAGGGAAAAGAGGAAGAGAAAAAAAAAGCAAAATCATTTTTGAGAAGCAATAACACAGAAAAGCCCTTGTCTAGATTGTTGAGGAATAGGTCTCTTAGTTTTATTCCATTTTTTTTTCTCTTTCTTTTTTTTCTTTCTCAGACTAAACAGGAGAGGGATGGGAGGGAGGGCGGGTAAGGTGGGAAGAATTACTATGTTCCTAATGTATTTATGAGATACATACAATGAAAAAAAAGAAAAAATGTTGCTGTGAGAGAGAGAGATTGAAGTAAACAATGAACTCATTACATTTCATATCTGATGTGGGGATTAAGAAGGCTGAAGATTTAACAATCTGAAAATCAAGATACAACTTACAGTTGGCTTCTTTTGAGGAAGTCCGATGTTTTGGTTTTTGTTTGCATAGTTATTGTTTACCAGTTTCAGCAGAAGAAATCCTATAGAAAAATAGGATGTGTGTTCTGATATATCCATGCTTAGCAATATTGTTTTAACAGTAAATAATTAAACCATGGGTCAGAAAGCTGTCATTTGCTTTCACAGTGTGAAGAAGGTATATTTTTATGAAAATTAAATATGGTTTGTGATGATTGGAGGAAAGATTAAACTTTAAATAAATGTATTAAATTTAGAAAGAAGGAAAAATGACAACTCAATAACATAAAAAATACATATTAAAAGAAAGCAACTAACAAAGATGAAAGCAAAAACTAATGAAATGTAGAAAGAGATGACTTAAGCATAAGAAAAAATTTTATCAATAAAATGAAAAATTGATTCTTTGGAACCAACAAAAAAGGCAGACATTTTGGCAACAAAATGGGAAATAGCTAAGACAAATTTCAGTTGCTTCATTAATTTTTTTAATTTATTTATATAAAAGAAGCAAATTTCATGTATTTCACATACACAGTTTTTCGTTTTCCATTTAATTGGAGAGACAAAGAGAGAGAGACTTCCCGTCGTGATTCACTCTCCAACTGCCCCAGAGTCAGGAATTCATTCTATGTCTCCCACATGAGTGGCAGGAACCCAGGTTCTTGAGCCATCACCTGCTAGCTCTGCACATTAGCAGAAAATAACAATCGGAGCTAGGAAGCAGCTAAAACAGGCAGTCCAATATGGGAGATGGGTATCCCAGCTGGGCATCCCAACCACTGCACTGAATGTCTGACCCATAGAAGAAAGGTTAAAAAAGAAAACTAACATTGTGACAACAAATTTAAAAATTTGGATAAAATGGATAGTTTTCTAAGAAAATTCAGATATGAGACTTAACTCAAAAGGAATCAGAAAATATACATAATCTGAGAACCTAAAACTAAATGAAAAGAATAGTCAAATTGTATTTATTAAGGAAAACTCAAAACATTGTTAAGCTGTCCCTTGAGATGCCTGCATCCTATATCAGAGTGCCTGGGTTTGAGTTCCAGTTCCACTCCCAGTTTCAGCTTCCCGATAATTCACACCTTGGGAGGTAATGGTTGATGACCCAAGTAGTTGGGTCCCTGTCATTTACCTGAGGAAACCTAGATTAAGCTTCTTGGTTCCTGTCCAGCCCCAACCATTGCAAGTATTTGGAGAGCAAACCAGCAAATGAGTTCTCTTGCTCTCTTCCTCTCTCTCTCTCTCTCTCTTTCATTCTTTCTCTCTTTCAGCCTCAGCCTCTCTGTAACTCTGCCTTTCAAATAAATAAATAAATCTTTTTTTAAAAAGATGAAAAACCATAGTATCAACTTGTTAGATAGTTAAAAATTATGTCTTAAAGATCAATGCCAATTCCTTAAGATAAAATAAAATGAAGATAAAGAAAACTCTTAGAGTTTCTTGAATTTGATAAAGAACATCACTTGAATCACATCACACTTAATAGTGAAACACTTGAAATCTTTCCATTTTAAACAGGAGCAAGACTAAAAGGCCAACTGTCTCCATCACAATTGGACGTATTTAATGGAGGTCCCAATCAATGCAATAAAATAATGAAATGAATAAAATGATATATTAGAACAAAGATTGGAAAAGCAAAGCCAAAACCATCATTATGTTCAGATGATATGATAATTGGCAAGTGCTTGGCAAATTTAAAACCATTTAAAACAATCAGCAAAAAAAAAAAACAGAATCAGTAAAAAATATCTGGTAGGCTGCATAAAAATTTAACATATAAATATCAGTTTATTTCCTATATATCAGTAATAATCATTCAGGAAAGATAATGAAAATAAATAAAATAAGACTAAAACATAAACAATATGGTTGCCAATAATATTTTTGCCTTATTACTGAATTTGCCATCATTCTTAAAGAAACAAGAAATGTTTTATACTGCAAGTTAAGTAAGTGTCAAAGAGTAAAGACCACAAGTTTTTTGAATTGTTGCTTCAGCCAAGTGAAGAAGGAAGGTTTTTTTTTGGTTAAAATTTCTATGTAGTCCTTTTTTTCTTTTCCCTTCCATTGTTTTTATTGAGTACAGCCTCAAAACACAGCACTCATGAAATGCTATATGGTAGAAAAATACAATTAAATTTTAACTCAAATTCTAAATAACATAAAAAGATAGCATAACATGTATACTCTATCTTGGTATAGTGTTTGATATTATGATATAATGACATGCACCTTTCTTTTTCTTTCAGGGCAAAAAAGCCTCATTCACGAACTTTGACCCTTCCACTCTGCTTCCTCCGTCCCTGGATTACTGGACCTACTCTGGCTCTCTGACTCATCCCCCTCTTCACGAGAGTGTGACCTGGCTCATCTGTAAGGACAGCATCAGCATCAGCTCAGAGCAGGTAGAGTATCACAGGTGAACGAACGAGACTTGAGAGTAGAGGAGTTCTACATCAACAAAAGGAGATTAATATTTCAATAATATTTTCCTAATTAAAAATTATTTGCATGTGATATGGGTCTATTATAGTATCAGAAAGAGTACATTTGTAATACCATTTTGATTTTATGCAAAAAAAATCAGATTCAGCACTCCCACTATTCTTTCCTGCAATATAAGGAAAAATCTCATATTGTTAGATCGTTTCTGAAAAGTTTCTAAAACAAAGGAAAAACTGTCAGTGGAAGTTCCGTTAAGGATGTGATGAATTTTAACTCTCAAAGGGCATACTTTGAAAATTGGCAAAATTTTCCTGTTCTTTTTCTTGGAACTTGCAATTTTAATCATCTAACAAAATATCTCAATTATTTTTATAATGATGATCATAATAATTATCTTTTATTGAGCAACTACTCTTATTAGAGACTTGTTTATATTTTTGTGAGTCAATGCTCATGACAAGCCTAGGAGAAAAGCATTGTAATCCATCATTAAGTAACATTATCAAACACATGCTAGTGCCAAGCATCATTCTAGGTACTTGACATGTGTTAACCCTTTTAATCTTCATAATAACCCAATGAAATAAGCACCATCATCAACAATTGAAGTAAAATAACTACTACAAAGGAGAGTGAAGGATTTGGGGTTTCCTTCCTTCCTACTTCAATCCTCAGCTCAATTTTATACCTACCGGTGCATTACTAGTACAGGAAATAAAGAAATTTGTGTAACATTAATATTGTCTAATTATTTAAATATTCCGCCCTTCCAGTTGGCACAATTCCGCAGTCTTCTATCGAATGCTGAAGGTGAGGCTGCTGTCCCCATACTGCACAACAACCGACCACCCCAGCCTCTGAAGGGCAGAACTGTGAAAGCTTCATTCTGATGGGTGCAAGAGGAGCCTATCCTCTTAAGAAAGCAGCCTCGCCACCAACATGATCCAGTACAATAATCGCTTTTAAGAAATAAGTTCATTTCCATTTAATTTGTAGGACCAAAATCTTTAGTTTTAGTTCTTGATGTTTAACTAAAAATAGTATTCTGTAAGCTGCAAATAGCAATCTGTGAGCTTAAATTTATGCTTAAAGTTCATTTTCTGAAGCTCTTTAAAATTGTAACCAAGTGATTTGTTTCCTATTCTGCATTTGTTCAGTTTCATTGCACGAATAAACTAATTTTAGCTCTTAATTCTTGTCTATTGTGAGCTCTTTGTCAAAACCATTAAATTTGTACTTCATTTACAATTGAAAATCTTAAGTATCTTACTTGAAAGACTAATTTTGCCTCAACTGAAATAACCTAAGAGCAGCATGAAATGAAATATTGAGAAATTCGATTTCTTGCTCTTGTAGACATATGTAATAGCTAAACTGGTGACTGGGTTCAATATTATTATGCTGATCCAACATTACTATCATTTGTATTCTAATGAGAAAAATGAACTTTTTAAAAAGATTTACTTATTTATTTGAGAGGCAGAGTTAGAGAGAGAGAGGGAGTGAGAGAGAGCGAGAGGTCTTCCATCTGTTGGTTCACTCTCCAAATGGCCGCAATAGCAGAAGCTGAGGTGATCGGAATCCAGAAGCCAGGAGCTTATTCTGGGTCTCCCATGTGGGTACAATGGCCCAAGCACTTGGATTATCTTCTATTGCTTTTCTAGGCCAGAGCAGAGAGCTGGATCAGAAGTGGAGCAGCCGGGACTTGAACTGGCACCATTATGGGATGCTGGCACCACAAACAGAGGGTTAGCCCACTACGCCACAGTGCCAGCCCCAGAAAAATGAGTTTTTACATAGGAAAATGATGCTTCTGGATATTGCTCTCATATCTTCTCCTTATATTAGCAAGGCCAATACCTTTCTGCTATTATTGTAACTAGTTCATTTGCATGGAGAATCTGTACTTTCAATTTGGAAGTAGAGTTACAAGTGAATTATTTATAAAAATGTTGCCAGAGTCATTTGGGCCTAGAAACATCATGAAATCTTTCAGACAGATGTGCATTTAACCTGATGCTATTTTTTTCTGAAGCTATATCTACACCCAGAATTCTGTAAATTCCATGTCCAATATTGAGTCTTGCTGTTTCTAACCTAAAAAATCATTTTAGAGACCAAAGCCCACTTCAATGTTCTTGTTATATCTAAGATCACAAAATCTGCCAATATCTCTTAATAGCTAAAATCAAAGTTGAAAAGACCACCTAAGCAGATTCTTCATTGCTTTGTCGAAGCCATTTTCTAAAGGCTTTTTGTAAAGGTTTGTTTTGCAACTAATAACCATACTAAGAGACTTCTTTTGAAATATTTGATTTGGGGCCCAGAATTTAAATGAATTCTCTTTATTAAAATGTAACAGACCCAAGTAACATATTAGCTCTGGTCTCATAAACACTCTGTACATGTACAATGTTTTCTTTGCAAACATAATCTGATATTACTCTACACTTGGTAAATATTGAGAAAGTTTGAAAGAGTTACACCTGATTTATTTCCTTTTATTGATAGGATTCTAACTTTGAAATTATCAAAGATGGCTCTGAGACCCAAAGAAACCGGGACATGAGTTTAGTTTGAGAAATACATCTACAAAAGATGTTCAGACCTATAATATTTGAAAACATTTTTTGAAAAGAAATTTAACAATTCAGAAATAATTTTAGGAAGAAACAGGAAGAATCTGAAAAAACACTTCACCTGATGATCCATTTATAGTTTTAAGAAGGTTAAAATAGACTATAGAATTTATATGTAAGTCTTTACGTCTTATAATGGAAAGAGCAATAGAATGACAGGAGATATATGATGGTCATCAATCTTTATCCCTAAACCAAATGCCAAATGGTGAGCCTGTTTTCTTACTACTTCTGCCATAATTTCATATATTTGGCAGAACTCACGAGGTGCATCATGGGGGCTTTCTACATTTCTCTGAAGTAGCCGATAAAAGCAGCTGTTGAGAGATGATATGTGGACTAGGCATTGGCTCATATGAGAGCTTTAGCTCATGTTCTGTTGACTAACGAGCCCGCAGTGTGCCCTCTCCTGTTGGCAGTGGTAAATGGCAGACTTTCGAACATCCTGCAAGGACGCTCAGATTCTTCCGTGATCGTTTTTGTGACAAATCTAGTGGGCTTCTCAGCATCCAGGTTGGTGATGGCAGCCGCTGAGGCCCATCACAGGCTCTACGGAAGAAGGGTGCTTTTGCACAGTGCTGTTTACCATCTCATCCCCCACCCACCTGCAGAAACACCATGCTAAACATCTCTCTGACAATTTGTGAATACAGAAAGCTAAAATGTTTCTAAATTGTTCATTTATGTTAGTTTTAGCAAAAGAGCATGATAAACATTAAATTCATCAACAGGGGAATTAGAGCAAAGGAAAACTGGAAAAAAGTATCTTCATTAATTTCCTTATAGGACTCAAGAGTGTATCTCTATTTATTATAACTCCATATACTCTACACCAATGATTCAGGGGTTACAGACTCCTATAAATATGTGATTAAAGTTACGAAATGCTTCACCCATGAATTTACATAATAAAATATAGCCAAAAATTTGCACTGAATTTTAGAATATTTTCTAAATTCTTTTCCTTTTCTGCCCTCACAAGGTCATTTCTTTCTTTCTTTCTTTCTTTCTCTTTTTTTTTTTTTTTTTTTTTTTTTGACAGGCAGAGTGGACAGTGAGAGACAGAGAGAAAGGTCTTCCTTTGGCATTGGTTCACCCTCCAATGGCCACCACGGCCGGCGCACTGCGCTGATCCGAAGGCAAAAGCCAGGTGCTTATCCTGGTCTCCCATGGGGTGCAGGGCCCAAGCACTTGGGCCATCCTCCACTGCACTCCCTGGCCACAGCAGAGAGCTGGCCTGGAAGAGGGGCAACCAGGACAGAATCCGGCTCCCCAACCAGGATTAGAACCCAGTGTGCCAGCGCCGCAAGGCGGAGGATTAGCCTAGTGATCTGCGGCGCCGGCAACAAGGTCATTTCTGAAGTTCAGAATCAAAGGGCTGTTCTAAACTACAAAAAATGGGGCTGTCATGAACTCCAAATCTCTCTTGATCTTGTTTTCCTAATAACTTTTTGTTATTATTATTTTCTATCTCATTTTTCATAGATGTCTAGAGACAGAACTTCACTAAATTTCTGGTATATTCTATGAATTACATTTTTAGTGTTTTTCCCCTTTCCAAATATAATTTACAGTTGATATGTCTCATTGTAGAAGAGAAAACACAAAAAGAAATGAAATCAAAACCCTAGTGAATTTCTGATTAGTATGTAAACTAACAAAAGATTAAAAATGAAAGGGAAAGAAGTATACAAAAAAAACTGAAGAAGAAACCATTAAATTAATAATGGTCAAAAACATTCTGAAAGCCAACAATATTTTCTATACTCAAGCCCTTTCTTTTTCAAAGCACACAGAAATACTTATGACCATTGTCTTCACGATTGTCAAAAACTCCAAGTGTTTATTTACCCAATGTTCTTAGTGAGACACTGTACAGTTTCATTATCATTCTTCATAGATTTGGCTGTTTTCAAGCTCAGCATATAGGCAAAGAAAGAGATCAGAAGACACACATAGATACAAATGAATCTATAATTGCATTTACTCAAGACTGCTCTACTATAACAAAATGGGACCACAGACATGGATATTTAATCTATTATAAAAATATAGCTGAGGCCAACATTGTGGAGTAGTAGGTAAAGCTGCCACCTGCAATCCCAGCATGTCATGTGGGCGGCGGTTCTATGCCTTGCTGCTCCACTTGCAATCCAGCTCCCTGCTAATGTGTCTGAGAAAAGCAGAAGATGGCCCAAATATATGGGCCCCTGAATTGCATGTGGGGGACCCAGAAGAAGTTACTGGCTCCTGGCTTCAGCCTGGCCCAGTCCCAGCCATCGCATCCTACTGGGGATGGAATCAAAAGTTGGAAGATCTCTGTCTCTCTCTCCTTCTCCCTCTGTAACTCTTTCAAGTAAAAAAATATTTAAAAAAGAAAAATTGTTGTTTTGTGCTGCCAGACCTAAATGGACACAATCGTAAAGCTAAAGGAAGGTGCATAAAGTTAAAATAAAAAGTAACATGACATGCTTGAAAGAAATTAGAAGTGATCGTGGTATTCGTATTTATATATTTTGCTTTCAATAGAGAAGAGGGCAGGCATTGTGGCATAATGCTTAAAACATCACTCGGGATATCCACAGCCTGTATCACAGTTCTTGGGTTCAAGTCTCTATTTCTAATCCTGTATAATGAGCTACTTCTTACATTTTTCCTTTTACAGATATGAGTCTTTAAAATGTTCATGGAAATGTATATAAAGGTACTTCAAAAGTTCATGGAAAACTATAAAAGGTAAGTTATTTGGATACAAAGAAAATTGAAATCCATGCAGGTTTTTTATAATATACGCTAGGTATTAACTTTCTCAAAATCTCCTCTTATTGTGAGAAAAAAAAATTATCCATGGATTTCAAAAATTTCTTCATCAAAACAAATTTACTTTTTAGCTTCATTTTTTCTCACAAAGTTTTCAATGAACCCTCACACTTGCAACATGAGTAAATAGATGTTTACTAGTGTCAGTTCCAGATTCCTAAGAAAAGGATCTTAAGTGGCTTGGGATGGGAAGCCTTGCTGCCGTCAACTGTTGCTGAGCACTGGCTGGGGATCCCATGGAATTCACTGAATTCCCGGCACATATTCTTCAGGATATTAGGAGCATCATTGTGAACCAAATGGAAATTCCAAAATGGTTTACCACCTTCTTGAAGGTAAGAGGAACAAAGATAAGATTGGACTAGGAGTAGCATCAAGTGAATCCAGTCAAAAGTGAGAACTGGGTTCATTAGAGAGAGACACATCTCCAATTGTAGAATCTAAATGTTCCAATTGTAATGGTAGAATCCAATATTAACTCTACATTTGAAAAGTGACACCACATTTTTATTATTATTAAACATTACCTAAGTATTTTGCCATATGGAAAGCATTAAACTAATGTGTAGTAGATAAAGAGATAAAAACTCATAATAGGAAATGGGGAGATCCAAGATGAAAGAATAGGGAGGGAGCTTACAGATAGTTTTAAAAAGTGGAGAAGTGTCGACACTGTGGAGGAGGGGGCTAAGCCTCTGCCTGTGGGGCTGGCATCCCATATGAGCTCTGGTTCTAGACCTGGCTGCTCCACTTCCAATCCAGCTCTCTGCTATGGCCTAGGAAAGCACTAGAAGAAGGCCCAATTCTTTGGGCCCCTGCACCTGGATGGGAGACCCAGTAGAAGCTCCTGGCTCCTGGCTTTGGATTGGCGCAGCTCCGGATGATACGGTCAGTTGGAGAGTGAACCAGCGGATGGAAAACCTCTCTCTCTGTCTCTACTTCTCTCTGTAACTCTATCTTTCAAGTAAATAAAATAAATCTTTAAAAAAAAAAAAAAGAACTTTGGGGGCCAGCGCCATGGCTCACTTGGCTTTGCCTGTGGCACCGATATCCCATATAAGCACCAGGTTCTAGTCCTGGCTGCTCCTCTTCCAGTCCAGCTCTCTACTGTGGCCTGGGAAGGCAGTGGAGGATGGCCCAAGTGCTTAGGCCCTGCACCCGCATGGGAGACCAGGAAGAAGCACCTGGTTCCTGGCTTCAGATCAGCACAGCGCTGGCCGTGGTGGCCATTTTGGGGGGTGAACCAACGGAAGGAAGACCTTTCTCTCTGTCTCTCTCTCTCACTGTCTAACTCTATCCCAGCAGCTGAAAGACTCGGCACCAGCTTTGAAGAGTAAGGTGAGACCAGACTGCAGCAGCCCAAGCCACTGGCATTAAAGCTGCAGGAAGAGCCTAGTGCAAGTCCAGCTTGGACCCCTATTGGGGACAGTGTACTTGCCAACCCAGGGGGAAAATAGAGGGGGCACATTTCTCTCTCCCCAACAACCCTGCACCAGTGTCCTGTAACAAGCCAAGAGAGGGCAGGCACCATTTTGGATAAACATAACAGCTGTGCCAGCTCGTGACCTCACACCTAGCAAACCAGCTGAGCAGAGATGCCTGAGTTTGGCTGGGAGAACTGACAGGGAGCCATGTGCTCATGACTGTGGGAGGCTTGTGTGCCAGGACTGTGAAAATATTGTAGCTGCATGGGAGGCTGCAGGGTGTGTGGCTGGGACTTTGGGCAGTTACTGTGGACAGCTCCACATGCTTGGGGCTCCCTGATTCCCTGTTGAGGGTCATTGCTTCAAGATCCACGCTTACACCAAGTACCACACAGATCCTTTGTGTGGTTCTTGTGGCAGGGTGGCTGAAAATTGTACCCACTGGGGCTAGGACCCAGGCACTAGTCTCCTTTGAGGTGAGGAGGTAAGCAAGAAACTACACCAACAGAGCAGAACAAACCTCCCCTCTGATTAAAAAAAAAAATAGGAGATTTACCACACCCCACTTGGGTGTCACCTTTGACATTCCCTTCACCTTGGAGCATTGAACAGAGCTCCCTGGCCACACCAAGCAGACGCCTTTGAGTATTCACTGAAAAAGCCGACACTCCACTAAACCCCAGGGGTATAGTCCAAAGATAAAAGCCATCACAGGGAAAAAAAAAGAAAGAAAGAAAGAAAGAAAGAAAGAAAGAAAGAAAGAAAGAAAGAAAGAAAGAAACAATAAGTATCTCCACAAATGCTTAATATTAAACGCAGCAATTCAAGAAAAAGAATATGGAAGACAACATGACACCCCCAAAAGAAGACAACACCTCAATACTGGAATGTGGAGATCTTGGCACAAGGAAAGAGTTGTTGGAACCCAAGAGGCACAGGCAATCAAAGCCAAAATTGACAAATGGGATTACATAAAATTTAGAAGTTTCTGTACTGCAACAGAAACACTCAGCAACATGAAGAGGCAACATACAGAATGAGAGACGTTATTTGCAAACTACGCAACTGATAAAGGATTAATAACTAGAATACAAAAGAGATCAAGAAACGAAACAACATCAAAACAAACAACCAGTTAAGAAATGGGCAAAGGATCTAAAGAGACATTTTACAAAAGAGGAAATCCAAATGGCCACAAGAAAAAAACGCTCAGGATCACTAGCAATCAGGTAAATGCAAATTCAAGCCACAGTGAGGTTTCAGCTCACCCCTGTTAGAATGGCTTTCTTATAGAAATCAACAAACAACAAATGCTGGCCAGAATGAGGGAAAAAGGTAACCTAATCCACTGTTGGCAGGAATGTAAATTGATAAAACCACTATGGAATTCATTTTGGAGATATCTCACATATATGAATATAGACCTACCACATGACCCAGCCATCCCACTCTTGGGAATTTATCCAAGGGAAATTAAACCAGCATATGAAGGAGTTATCTGTACCCCCATGTTTATTGCAGCTGAATTCACAATAGCTAAGATATGGAATCAACCCAAATGTTTGCCAACTGAAGACTGGATAAAGAAGTTATGTGATACGTACACCGTGGAATACTACACAGTGATAAAAAAAATGGTGTTTGCAACAAAATAGATGAAACTAGAAAACATCATACTTAGTGAAATAAGCCAGTCCCAAAAGGATAAATACTCTTTGTTCTCCTCATCTGTGATAACTAATAAAGCATCTAAAAGATAATCTACACAGGTGAAATTGACACTTTGTGTGCAATGTCTCTGAACAGCTCTTGTCTCCACTGTTTAGGAACAATTTTTTATTCATACTATTTTTTGAACTCTTTATTTAACATACAGTTACTCATATGTGTATAAAGTTAATTGAAAATAGATCTTAGTAAAAAATAAGCACAGGAATAGGAGAGGGAGGAGGAAGAGGAGTGGGTACCATGGGAAGAATCACCATGTTCCTAAAGTTGTAATTGTGAAATGTATGAAATTTATGTCCCTTAAATAAAAAGTTTTTCTCCGTTGGAAAAAAAAAAAAAAAACTTATAGGGTCCAGCGCTGTGGCACAGAAGCTTAATGCCCTGGCATCCCATATGGGCGCTGGTTCTAGTCCCAGCTGCTCCTCTTCCGATCTAGCTCTCTGCTATGGCCTGAGAGAGCAATAGAAGATGGTCCAAGTCCTTGGGCCCCTGCAACCATGTGGGAGACCTGGAAGAAGCTCCTGGCTCCTGGCTTCAGATCAGTGAAGCTCCTGCCATTGCAGCCATCTGGGGAGTGAATCAGTGGATGGAAGACCTCTCTCTGTCTCTACCTCTCTCTGTAACTTTCTCTTTCAAATAAATAAAATAAATCTTAAAAAAAAACACATAATAGGAAATTCTAGTTTCATATTTCTTCTATCAGTTACTATGTGTTTATCATTTGGAAAGTAGAACTATCCTCTCACTGCAGGGGATATAGAATGAAAGAATAAGAGTAGACCCTGTCAGAGATGCTCACAATCCTATCAGGGTTGGGACATCCATGTAAATAACTATGTTATTTGCAACTGAATGAATACCATAATAAACGTACAACCACGTGCATAAAAGCAGTGGAAGAATGATTAACTTTGATTTTTATTACTCTTTGTCCAGCAATGCTTTGCTACTAGTTTATCAGCTACAAATTTGCCTATCTTAGAATGCATTTTGGCTAAGATCAAGTGTAGAACACAATCAACCAGCTCAACATGTTTTAACACAAAGGTAGCCTATGGAATCTGTTATCAGCCTTTTCACCTGGGTTGAGAAATATGCTTGGAGAATATATCAAATTCAGTGAATTAAAGAAAAGACATATTGACATATGAAATAAGATATGTAAAAAGTAAGGCAACAGACAAAAAAGAGTAAGCTTGTGCTAAAAGATCAAACACAAGATAATGCTGTGCCTTGGAGAAATCCAGGACTGGACAGATCATCAAAAATGTGAACACATAACCAAAAGCCCTAACCCCAAAGCTGAGATTAAGCAACAAGTCTTCATTTACAAGACTGAAAAATGAATAAAAAATCATTATTTTCCATACTTAGGGAATTTGGGTTCTCAAAGCCTGAATTCATCACCCAGAACTTTGAAAGGAGCAGTTATTTGAACCAGGCACATGGTCAATAGCAGTAGGTACTGATTCATAGCTGAGTAAGTGTAGAGTTACAAGTTGTTAAGATTAGCTTCCCATATCTCTCTACTTAAAGTCAGGGTGAGTTTTAGAGACCAGTGGGATCGAGCTTGGATCAAGTAGCCCAGTTGACCTAGGTATAAGTAGATATGATAAGCATGAACAAAAGAGTTTTTAAAGAGAGGTGTAAGAACAATACAATGCAGGCGTTAGGGTACAGCAGGTTAAGCCATCACTTGGAACATTCACATCCCATATCGAAGTTCCAGTTCAAGACCTGCAGCTGACTACTCTATTTTTTATCAAACTCACTGCTAAGGCACCCAGGAAGTAGCAAGTATTTGTGTCCCTGCTACCCATATGTGAGACATGGATAGAGTTCCAAGATCCTGGCTTCAGGTTGGTCCTGCCCTAACTCTTGCAGGCTTTTAGGGAGTAAACGAGCAGGTGGAAGAGTCTTTCTCCCTCCCTCCCTCCCTCCCTCCCTTTAAAATAGTTAAATAAATAAATCTGGAAACAAAAAAAGAATGCAGTCCACACTGCCCATGACTGTTAAATATCCAAGTCAAATTTCAGATACATTTGTTACAAATCCCCTAATCAGGTTTTGAAAGGTTACATGAAGTCAAAATAGAGAAAAACAAAACAAAAGTTGTTTTTAAGTTACACTTGATTTAGAAATAAATAATTCATCACTTTAAAGAACAAAGGGAACATTATGTAAAGTTCTAGCCTATTTGGAAAATTCAAAAATATTTCAAATGTTTCCCACTGGGCAAAGTAGACAAAGAATTTACAAAGGTAACTGAAGGGCAGTGTAGTAGGCATGTACAGAAAACTTTTAAATGAGTAGTATACATTGTCACTCAGTCATTTATGATGTTTTGGACCTATGAGATGAACTTCTTGGATCCGAGAAGACATCTTAAGAGTATTCATACTGGGAATGAACACAGTTGTGCCACAATGTGACCAGCTTCACTGAAATCTTGGTAATGGCTCCCCTTGGAATCAGTTTTTGCTTGGTTAAGATTATGTCCACACTACAATTCAAATATTAAACAACATATCCAAGTTAACTCACAGTTAAACAAAGCAGGTGGTAGAGTAGCTAAAATGCTAAAGACAATGGAAAGAGAAGTCATTGCACCTCAACAGACACATTAAACAAGGACAAGGTGTTGTGCCTACTTGTACATCCAGCCTCTCATGGTATAGTGAAGTCATCTCAACTCCTCCCATCATTCCCATGTCCGCTACCACATATTTGTTGAGGACATGAGTCCTTCTTGTTCAGATAATCACCATCCTAATTAGTGCCCCTGTCCCTGGTGTTGCCCTTCTTGATTCAAACCAATAAAAATAACCCTTTGCATAAAAACATTTAGGGTTATGTTTCTCTTTGCTATAGGATACATTTCAATGTCCTTAAATCTGGTGAGCTCTGCAATCTAGCCCAACTACTTTCTCTTGTTTTACCTCCCACCACTCCCCTCAAGCAATCTGTGTTCCAACAATACAGACATGTCTGCAGATTCCTGAACCACAAATCTCAGTACCCTTGCACATTATCTCAGCGTCATGATTCATGTCGCCCAATCTCCTTCAAGACTCAACCAAATACCTGTCTCTTCTAAAAATATTCCCGGGTCTCATAGGTAGTAGTCACACAGACCCTTAGTCCTAAACAAGAGGGTCCCTGGGCTAGACCCTACACTTTGGAGGGTCTTATATCATAAATAAAATTAAATGTATAGAATAACATATGGATGTCCCCTGTCCCTCAGGATCTATTACTCAGGCTGGCCCAACAAGACTCAGAACTCTAAACATCTACTATCATAAAAGAAATAACTCAAATACCAAGAAAATATCATTTCACATCCACAGCCCTTAGTCCTTGAAGCAAAGGGCAACTGTGTATGAATGAGGCAAAGGATTGTGGCTATGCCAGCACTGGCATTAGAGATAGACATGGCTGTACAGCATAGAGACAACTTGAGCAGTGATGGTGTTTAGATAAGAAGAAGCCCACAATAAACATTCATTCCAGATAGCACATGTGCATTTTATGCCTGCTTAAAAAAAAGTAATGTTCTTAGTTCCCAGTAGACAGGGAGCCAAGCACACATTTTTTTGTTTGCGTATGTGCTCAACTTTATGGTTCCAAAGCTACTCATGAATCACTGAGTGTTCACAGCAGCTGTGCATGACATCTGAGTAATATTTTGCAATTTAAACAACTTACATTTGTAGATAAGTTGATCTAGAGGTAATATGTGACTCATCAATCTAGGTTACAAGTAGATGGACATTGACTACCAGATTTAGGAATTGTTCTATTTTTCTAAAAATATTTAATCCAATTAAAATAAATATTGATAACATTGAGTTGGAAATTTCAGCTTTAATTTTTAAAGGTTTTAATTCATTTATTATAGTTTATATTTTACATTTTAATGAATTTTTGAAATGTGAAGCTAAACGAAATTTTAAGTTCTGTACATTTCTTCCAATTTAAAGTTTGTTATAAGTCTGTTCAAATCTTGTACACTTCTAACACAGGTACATTTTTAGACATTTAGCCCATTACTGCCAACAGTTTACAAATGATGTGAAAATGTTGATAATAAAGGCTGGCAGCTCCACTGGAGACTGAACTTCCTGCTAATAGGCTTGGGAAGAAAAGAGAAGAGGGCTCCAACTTCCCGGCTCCTGGTTCCTGGCTTCAGCCTGCCCAGCACTGGCTGTTGCAGCCTTTGGGGGAGTGAACCAGTGGATGGAAGATCCCCACTCCTGACCCTTCTTTCTTGCTCTCTCTCTCTCTCACTCCCTCTCTCTCTATTGCTTTGCCTTTCAAATAAGAAAACAAATAAACCTTTTTAAACCTAATTATTTTGCAGATGAGAAGTTTGAGTTTTGGAGAACTCGTTGTTTGTCCAAGATCACATAACTAGAAAGGAACAAAAATAGGACTGGAATTGCAAATTTTGTGAAGGTAAAGCCTTGAATCCTCAATTTCTAAATTAACTTTCTTTCAAGATACAATCACGTGGGGCTGGCGCCGTGGCTCACTTGGTTAATCCTCCACCCACAGCACTGGCATCCCATATGGGTGCCGGGTTCTAGTCTTCATTGCTCTTCTTCCAGTCCAGCTCTCTGCTGTGGCCCAGGAGGGCAGTGGAGGACGGCCCAATTGCTTGGTCTCCTGCGCATGGAAGACCAGGAGGAAGCACCTGGCTCCTGGCTTCGATCGGCATAGCTCCAGCCACAGTGGCCATTTGGGGGGTGAACCAACAGAAGGAAAACCTTTCTCTCTGTCTCTCTCTCTCACTGTCTAACTCTATCTGTCAAACAAATAAATTAAAAAAAAGATACAATCACTTAAAATATATGTACATATAAAAATTATGAAAATACAGTACTTTCTTAGTGTTAAATTATATTTAATTTTTCTAAAATTATAATGCTCTAAAAACATTTCAAAGAAAATGAGTTGGTAATCTAAACAGCAAAACCATAGAAGTTTAGTAAGGGATAAGTCAAAAAAGGTAATATATTTTATTGCTTAA